TCCACTTCAAATCCTTTATTTTAACGACAAGGCACCGAATGCTACCGAATTTCGAAAGCTTTTAGAATGGTTTTGTTGCATCTCGCAACTTCACCATTGCTGGCTGGCCAGTAAGGAACACCCTTCAGGTGGCTTATTCCCAGGTGGTCTAGGAATTGTTCAAAGTCCTTGGATGTAAAAGGGGGTCCATTGTCACTTTGCACAGACAGGAGTAGACCATGCGTTAAGAATATAGCTTCCATAGCAGCAATAACGTGCTGGCTGTCTGTCTTTTTTAGTTGGATCACCTCTGGCCATCGTAAGTAATTGTCCACTACAACCAGGGATTTATTCCCAGTCACTTCCACTATGTCAACTGCAAGATCAATCCAGGGCCCCTTAGGCAACTTGGTGGACTGTATTGGCTCTGGCCCACCTCTAGGGCCAACCAGCTGGCAAGGGTAACATGTCTTGATGTATTGCTTAACTTGCTTGTCCATCTGTGGCCAACACACCTTTTCCCGGAGACGAGCTTTAGTTCGTGCCATGCCTTGATGTCCATCATGCGCTAATGTGACCATTCGCTCCCATAGGCTTTCAGGCATTACTATGCGGTTTCCTCTCATGACAATTTGTCCTATGACCTACAACTCATCAGACAAGGCCTTGTACATTGTCCCAGACAAACGGGTCCAGTCTCCAGTGGCAACTGATTCACGAATCATTGCCAGGCATGGGTCTTTGGCTGTGGCAATCTCGACTTTTTTTGCAGTGAGGGCAGATGGTACAGCCTCCTTCACTACACTGCAAGCATATTCTTTACTAGCTGCTGAGTCTTTGTGCAGGGGTGCTGCAAAAGGTAGTCTACTCAGGGCATCAGCAGAGTTCTGCTTTCCTGGTATGTGATTGACAATGAAGTCAAACTGTTACAAGTACAGGAGCCATCTCTCAATTCTAGCTGAAGGTGGTTTAGAATTAGTTTCCTACTTGCATAATAGACTGGTCTGTAGTCCCTGTCAGGTTGCTTCTGCTCTAGGATAGCTCCAAGGTCAACTGGTGAGGCATCTGTGATGAGTCGGGTCTTGGAACCTTGTGAGTGGTAAGCCATCACTGGTGCCTGAGTAGGCTTTGTCTTCAGGGTCTGGAATGCGGCCTCCTCCTTTTTTCCCCACTTCCACTGTGTGCCTTGTATGGTTATGTCCCACCAAACATGGCAGTTTGTCTGGACTAAGTGGCCTGAAACCATGTGGTGACGTTATGCCAGCAGCTAAATGTCCCACTTTATCACATTTCCAGCATTTGCCGCTGAACCTTGTTTTTGGAGTTGGTGCCTTGACACTGTTTACACTCACTTCAGGAAGAAGGAAGAGTGCTTCTTCGTTATGATAGCTGCTGACAATCTCAATCATTTTGGTTAGGGTTAGACTGTCCTTACGGTATAGCTTTGCTTTTAATGCCTTATCAGCGATGAACGTTAACACACGATCTCTAACTTGATTGTTTTTTTCATCCTTGTAGTTGCAGTGTTCAGCTAAGCTCTGTAATCACATTATAAAATTATTAATCCTTTCCCCAGGCCGTGGGATTGCTGTCAAGAAAGCTTGCCGGGCCATTGGTACGTTTTTCTTTAATGAGAAATGTCCTGACAAAGCTGCCACTGCTTTATCGTAGTCTTCTGCCGTTCCCTCAACCGATCCCGCTAGGTGTAAAAGGAGTGACCTTTTTTGAGTGGCGTTGCTTACTCCTGATGCAATCATAAACCGTTCAAACTCTGATAGCAAAGTTGTCCATCGCTGGCATAACGTCACCACATGGTTTCAGGCCACTTAGTCCAGACAAACTGCCATGTCTTTTCGTGAATGAAAATAACCAGTTTTGTACTTTTTTTCTTAAATTCTTGTCAGTTTGTTGTTGATCCTTGTGGCCAAATGTAGTAATACTCATCTAAGGAGACCACACGATTTTGTATGTCCACTTCAAATCCTTTATTTTAACAACAAGGCACCCAATGCTTTACAAGCGCATGCCATTACGCAAGAAGTGATTGGCTCCAAGTAATCTTTGATTGCACCGACATGACATGACATCTCAGAAAAGCTGTTCGGTTGTTTAGAATTAATTTTATGAATTTTTAAACATTAGCTTTTAATGGTTCTGGTRAAGATCAAATAGCATTTTTGATGGTTTGTGTCGTTAATAAAGTATTTTTTCATTCAAAAATTATGGATATTACTGATAAGGAATCAACACAGTAAGCCGGAGTTACATCAAACTCAAAGGCAAAGAACTGTATTAGCCTGATATTTACCAAGTGAGCTCATAATATCATTTCTTCCCAAAAATTTAATGGGTTAGGTTTCTAGATGTAGCTAACCCAATTTACCTGTTGACTGTAAATGATTACTATTTTTATCATATACAGGGCAAAATTACTTGACGCTGATTGGCTAATTCGGGGCCGAATTACTARAAAATGATTGGTAWTTCACTTGCCTAGAAACGCTCATAAACTGCAAACTTTTCTTTTTCAAAATGTCTTCCCGTTTTGCATCGGCCGATGAAGAAAGCATTAGAAAATTAAAAAGTTCAAGGGAAAATCAGAACACTAGAAAGAGTACAGGTGTACAGTAATTGCTTTGTGACTTGGGCAATTTCAAAACTTTGAAAACACTAGTGAAATTAATCCTTAATTTTACTCAGCCCCATACAATTAYCTATACTAATTACTGCACTCAAAGACATTTATTTTATTTCTTAACCCATTTACTGTACCTTCATTGTGGTYTTCTTCATCAAATTGTATATCTGGTGTTTCTACACGGATGATAGATTTGTTGAGAAGTCTAAAAGCCTCTTTGACATGCTTTGGCTGAACCTAGAAGTGGAAAAGTTGAGTTATGAACCCATTTGCCACTGCTAAATCATATCCTATGCATTATTTATTTCAAAAATAAACTTATTTGTTCACAAAGACAATGGTGTGCATTGTGAGGGGTCTGAATAATATACAAACGCCTCACTTGTCACATAGTAAGGTATAGGAGATTGATACATCATTGTGTCTTGGATATACAGTACTAACACTACCTGAATTTACTCTTGGATGTAATTTTYATATCAAAAGAATAAAGAAAAGACGCAGATTGAAGTAAAATTATAAAATAAACATCTAGAGTCAAGTCTATCTTCATTTGAAGTGAGCGAACCAAATAGTTCATAATTATACAATATTATATTATTGTAAACATTGTTAAGATTGTCTGCTGAGTTTCACAGAGCCTTTAAATCTAATAGTTTACTCRCCACTTAATTCTTATCGTATTATTACTTTTAAATACTCGTAGGTTGAAAAATTTATRGCAAAAAGAACTTTTCAGAATCATAAAAAAAACAAAAGACTGACTTTGCTTTTTAGAAGAGTTTACTGCTTAAACAAAGCGACTAAAGTAGTCTTTCCTGAAGTCTTTCATTTCCTAAAATGTTTGAATATTTTCAGTTTATACAGCTGTTAAATACATGTACATGTAACAATTCACACCTCATCTGAACAGCACAGTCTTGCCATGGCTTCTGATAGACGAATCATGCTTTCAAGTTGCCTTACAGTAATTCTCCAAGCAGACCTTGCAGTACCTTTAATTATGAAAAACAGAAAAATGAGAAAGCAGTGCAATTACATAGGACATTGTTTAGTGCCAGAACAATAAAGGTAAGATGTTGGTACTGTATAATAAAACCCCACAGAAAATGATGGGTCTAATTCTTTACTATTAATGTACTCACTTGAAGTATCTCTTTCTCTTAGATGCTTATAATGTTCAACCATGAAGTCTTGTGCTTCTTTGGTTATCTAATTCATAAAGTAAAGATTTGCATTAAAAATGGATGTCAAAATCAATAGATACAAGAACATCCCAAATGCCCTGTCGACAGACTTTTGAAGGTAATTTTTGACAGTAGTGTTTGACAGTAGCTTGTCAGGCATTTGACAGTAGCTCATTGGGCATTTGACAGGTGTCATTTTTTTCTATTTTAATTATAGATTTTCAGGACACCAAAAAAAAGGTGTTGCAAATAAGCACTTGATATTAGTATATTAGTGACACAATAATATTACATATGACAATGAGTTTCCTATTTTTATTTTTATTTTATTCATGTTTTTATTTTTCACTGGTCATTTCTGCAGGCTTCATAACACCTCACTTTTGCAATGRCTAAATATATTTCTATATATGTCCCTATTTCAGATCAGGTGGAAATGGTTCACAATGCAATTAGTATTATTGTTGTGTTGTGTTGTGTTTCTATATATGTCCCTATTTCAGATCAGGTGGAAATGGTTCACAATGCAATTAGTATTATGTGAAGTAGGTACTTACTGTGGGTTTGAACTGCCTGGCAAAAGTAATGTAGCGTTGCACCTCATCCTGGAAACAAATCATCAAACCAGATTAAATTGTTGTTACTCAACAGAATAAATGGCCTTTGAGTTTGAATGACATAACGATGCAATTTTATAAACTACAGCYGTGTTTATACTTGGACTTTTAATAAGGAAATATACATAACCATAGTTCAAAGAGTGTTTCATCCTCTATGCAAACACCTAAACGTTGGTTGCAAAAAAAACTCAACTCACTTGTGTTTGAAAATCAGATGTAACATTCTTTAACATAGTACRTAAAAGGGATAGCATACATATATGTACAGTATGTTACTATCTGTATGTCTAAYGTGTTTGCGTTTATGGAAGAGTGCGATTGCACTACCAAAGCGCAAAGGCGATTACAATCATGTGGAGTGACAGAGTGTCGAGCGGTACTGTACATCCTTGAAAATATAAGTTTCCCAGCCATTATGTATGTATATAATTATTTTATATAGTGTGTTTGTGTGTGTGTGTGTATGCGTGGGTGTTTAAATGGCAAAGCTAAATAAATAAATGAATAATGAGTCTTTGCCTACCACAGAATAAACTCTTTCCACAGACTCTTCTAACCGTCTATGGAGGTCGACTATCCTCCTTGCAATGGCATAATCTGTTACCTGCAATAGAAAATATCAAAGTACCAGTTATTAGAATGCGTTATTATTCACAAGTAGATTTCCGCAATATTCCACAATATTTCCACCTGCAGGTGGTCATAAAACTGGTAATAAAAGTATACAATCACATTTTTACTGTATGACGTCAACCCAACCAGTGCATTAACACCAATTTGACAGACAGCCAAACCTGTAAATAGTATGTTAAGCTGTAAAAATTGATTTTATAYAGTCTAACTGTAAGTTTTATAAGAAGCTAGTGCTGGTTAGAAAACTCACCTCATTACTCTCATCAACTAATATGAAGAAAAGATCAAATCGAGACATGATAGGAGCTGACATGTTTACATTTTGCTGAAATTTAAAACATTTAAAGTTTATCTTCTTTGAACAAAATTAATCACAAATACTTAATTGATGGTTATTTATTTACCATTATTTCATGCATTGATAATCCTTAAATACGTTTATTGTCAGCAAAGTTTGCTATGCTGCTCTGAATTACTGTSAAGTCGACCGAGAGTCAAGTCGCCTGGAGTYGTGGTCAAGTTGCCCACAATGTATGGTCAAGTCRCCCGGACTTTTTTACTTGAAGGAATTGTCAAACCAGTAACACAAATATAACTTATTTAGCAGTAGTAAAGCTTTTGTAAGGCATTTGAGACTAGTTTTTGACAACATTATTACGATGTACAACCCCGATCAAACAAAGATCCAGTTTGTCATGATCGACTCTAAAATATTCAATTTGTAGCTGACTTTTAATCGGCTTCCAAAGTTACAAAAAACTCTGAAAAAACTCTAAAAAAGGATCAGGTGTAGTTTGTGGCTCAAACACATTAAATGCACACTCGTAAATTTAACTGTTGTGAGCATTCAGTATTAAATAAGCTTATTGACTGTCTTTATTATTACTAACCATGACRCTTCTATCGTGTCTAGATTTCAGACGAAACCTTTCAGACACATAAAAAAGAGTTTAAATGGTCGAAAATCAAAAATTTTCTACTTAATAAGCCGTTCAACTCTATTCTCTACTACCTCTGATAGATTTTCTTGATTCCCTTTGATTATTACCTACGAAATTAGAAAGGACTGCAGCCATGAAAATTTCTTGCATCTATCCCATTGTTATAAAGACAACAGTTTTAGATCGCTTAGCTTGGTGACGCCAATACCAAAACCATGCCTAAAAATTTCGGGTATCACATAGCAGAAGTTAATGGTTTCCTCTTTCTTCAGAATATTCGGTTAATAAACAACACTTTTGCGCTCTTATATGGAGGAATTTTCTTTTAATTGTGATTTGCCCCTCAAGACATCTCAAATAAAAACAATGTGATGCGACAGTACAACGAGGTGTGACATGAACACTTGAGTGACTGCCTTGACTACCGAAGTAGCTTTCTTATGAATATTATATGAAAATATATATGGTATATTTAAATGKCTTACATGAAATTTGCACTTGACTTTATTCTGATATATCCCATCATAATAATTTGAGAAGAAGTTTAATAGGTGTTCAAAAATCAGTTCATCTAACTTCTGACACTTTATAACATGTATTGTCGAGTCCGGGYGACTGAACTCATGTGTGCCTTTACGGATYGTGAAAGCGGTAGATTTCATGTGTTTAATTGTACRTTGTAATAACTRCYGAAAACTAATYTAARATGCCTTACAAATGTTTAATAAAGCTTTACTACTGCTAAATAAGTTATGTATGTGTTACTGGTTTGACAATTCCCTTAAGTAAAAAACTTGGGCGACTTGACCAYAACTCCGGGYGACTTGACTCTTGGGCGACTTGACCGGATACCGCTGCTCTCTATGAAAGCTAAACTTTCCACGGTTATCAGTCATCCTACATTATATAACAAAATACAACTGTTACAACCCATCTCAAATGGGACCTCAAGTACCATACCTGTAATGACTTGCTTCTGTCATATCTACCACCAATGGGATTAGCTGCMGCTAAAACTGACGTTCTTGCATTTAATGATGCCTTTTAAAAAATGAAACCAACCAAAATAATACATAATTCAAATGAGTCAAATGGTGTTGGGTATCGTTTTTCAATCTTAATTACCTTGACACCAGCCTTGGTCAAGGAAATAGTTTGTTGTTCCATGGCTTCATGAATAGCAACTTGATCCCTGGGATCCATCTTATCAAACTCATCAATACAGCAAACTCCCTAAAAAGTRAAAGAAAAAAATGAGTTCCATAAGCAAAACTTGTTGAACATTTTTCAGGCACTGGATTCCCAATAGGTACTGTTAACTATTATTGATCTATGAAGATACACCATAACTATTTTTTTAATAAACAGAAAAAAGGATGTTCACCATTTGTTGGTGAAGTATCACAGGGAAATAGTAATTATTWGCACCCCAAACCATCTGTTGACCAACTATTGGTCAGCTATTCCAAAGCTTGCTATTGGCAAAACACAATGACCACACAATGAAGATATTACAGAATGTCACCTATGAAAGCCATGATGGTATTTAAATGTTGTCAACATTTTGTTGATCATTTGTCGCCCGTTTGTTGACTGTTTTGCAGTAACTAGCGATGACCTGCTGACTAACTGTCAAGGTAACTGGTGATGACGCACCCTTGTCATGATGCCTTCATCCAAGACGCCCCAGTGTATACCATTATTTCATAGTATAAATCCAAGAGCAACAAAAAAATAATGAAAAGAAAAAACAAAATTCTGTATGTCCAATAAAGCATTCGTAATTCAAGTTAGTACGCMGTAGTTGTGGTAAGAACGCTAGTGATATTTCCTGTTATTGTTCCGCTTAGCATAAGTTCTGAAACCTWTGTATGAGGAGTTTGACACTCAGTAAATATACTACAAAAGAAAAAAAGAAAGCGAGTGCTGGTGAATAGAGTAAGAGAAACATTGAGAAAGAATCAAAACCTTTGACACAAACGAGTTGTCTTCCTCAGTTGTAGTTCCCTGGCTTGTAACCTAATAGTTCTTTGTATGCGGCGTATGAAGTTTGACTCATTCGTAATATTTSTCATTCGTAATTTTAAAACGTGTTTTTGCTAAAAATTTTGGTAAATAAGCAACGARTCTTACGAAAATTGGGTACACACTAGGGGGGTCATGGTATACACTGGGTTGTCATAACAAGGGGGCGTCATGAGCGTAATTCACTGTCAACCATTAAATTGCCAATAATCTAATGATCAACAGCCAGTCAACAGATGGTTTGGGGAGCTAATAGTTAGTATTACAATCTAAGAGCCCTTAAATGCAAATACAACCCCTGATGCTGATGATCTACTCACATTGTCTGCAAGCATTAAGGCACCAGCTTCAATTACAAATTCATTAGACTCTTCATCCCTCACAACAGCAGCTGTCAGACCTGCTGCACTTGATGCTTTTCCTGAAGTATACACTGCTCTTGAGCTGAACTCTTCCACATGTCTAGATATTATGTGTTAACAACAATTTGTAAATTAAGAAAAAAACATAATTTACATAACTAACATAAAATATTTGAAAAAAATTGACTTAAGAGAGTACAGGCAATGGTGGAGGAATGTTATGTTTTTTGTCCAGGAACACATCTTTAACTGGTAAACGAGCAAACAAAGTCAAAATTGAGAAAGCTTGAATTTTCAAAAAAAGGTTCGTTTTTACAGATGGTGTCAGGAATCGTAGGAGTCAGAGTTGATTCATTCTTGACTTAATACAAAAATGAAAAAGTAATATGTCAGGAATCTTTTCACTTACTTAAGGAATTGACTCTTTGCTGTGCTTGGGTCACCAACAACACATATRTTGATGTCACCTCTAAGGCTTGTCTTCTCTGTGGTTTTCTTGGGAACTCCTCCAAACAACATAAGCAACACTCCACGCTTCACTTCATCATTACCTACATTTCAGACATGGATAAATATGTACAGTCTTAGGTATTCCAGTTATCTAAGAATGCAGAACATTCCATATATACATTCCACTGAAAATCAATAATTATAATCCATTAAATARAACTAAAACAAAAGTGCATTTTGTATATGTTCTTCGAGATAATGCTGATTGATTTACAGTGGGTTTTACATTACTTTATCCGATCGCGTTCCTAACCAAGTTCGGAAATTCCGAAGGTCAGCGCCAACTTTGGAACTTCAAAGCRAAGTTCGTTATGAAYTTCTGAACTTCCCGCCAAAGTTTGGAACTTAGTTCTCACCAAAGTTCAGAACTTGGCTAGCGAAGATTGGCTTTAGAGATTCCCTGGCCACAATTTGGATTTTCTTGGAAGAACAAGTCCTTCCTTGAAATATGGCTAATTGACGACAGAGATGGAGTTTTTAGCGACAAAGAAACRTTATTTTCAACCAGTAGCTTCTGGATTCCTTGTCATACATGCTTGGCTTTGTTTGCTTACAGTATTCGATATATACAGAGACATCTTYGGTTCTTGCTATTCTACTCTTAGTATTCCTATTTACATCATGTCTTGGTTCTATTTTTTTGGTCTTTATGAAGTTATCAACAATCTTTATAAAAAACWGTTTTTCTTGATAGGTTAAGTTCRCAACCAATTTGCACTGGTTTTTCACCTTGTAGATACGAATCAATAATTTTCTCCCTAGCTTCTAGGGGAGAGCTCACTCTTGTTTGGTGAAGATGTTCATTACAGAACTTCAAATTCTACTAAATCTCAAGTTCCAAAGTTACCAAACTCTGAACTTCGAAATTTCCAAACGTAGTTGGGAACATGATCAGATAAAGTAAAGTGAAACCCACTGTAAGCTGTCCTAGGGCTTCATGATGCCCTCATGCACTCAGATGGACAAAATAGCTCTGAAATCTTCATTTTTTGTAATGCCTCCAAATCAAGCTGCCATTGTTTTGTACAAGAAATGTTTCTTTGCTGGAATATCACACGACTGGTGAACTTTGTACCTCATTTGCATAAAATGCCGACAATGTCAATCAAAACTCCATATATGGTTTTGCTAAGGCATAGAGAATGATTAGGTCCAAAAAACACCAAAAAACTCCAAAAATGCCCAGGAGCCAAAGGGTTAACCTRCCATACATTTCCTTAGAATTTAGGGCTAGAGAACTGGAGTTTTGTCCTTAATAACCTTCTTCTTATTCTTATGATTATTGTGCAATTTAAAATGGTGCAAAAGGCTTATGGTCATGGTAAAAAAAATGATAATAGTACTTCTTGCAATAGCTTTGTCAACACTGTAATCAGATTACAAAAGGTTTTGCTTTTCTACACCAGGCATCTTTTCATAATACTTATCTTGCAAGTAAATTGCAAAAAGAACACATATTGCATCATGTACCAACACATACATCAAAGYTTATGAAACTCACCATGAATTGTTGGGAAGATGCTGTTTAAAATGTTTTGGTATAAATTCTTATCTTGGCTCATCTCATAGACTTTYTGCCATTCCTGTTCTGTCATTTGCTTTTTAATTGATTCTGCTGTCATGTCTTCATCCAAATCCTTCCCTCCGAACTAACATGCAACAAAATGACCAACAAGAACAAGAAGAAAGAGATTTAGTTATGGTTTATGCACTTATGATAAAGTCATTAAGATTCAATCACAACGTTTTTTTWAATTGGTTTATCCAAAATGTTTTAAAAAAATTAATCATTTATCAGTTATTACTAGAGTTCTGGGAATTACRGTCTTTTCGCTACCTTGCACTTTCGCTACTGCACATTTGCTACTAATAGAAGTCAATTTGCTACCTTGAGGTAGCACAATTATTGCTACTTTATCTCAAGATACCTGTAAACCTCCTCCATAACATTTTGGATCGTTTATTATCAGCATTTCTAAGTAATTTGTTATTATTTGAATGTTTTTTTGAAGAAAGAAATTTCAATGTGTATTTGGCGTAATGGACAAGTTGGCCGAATATCCGTCTCGTAATCTGTCATATCGAACAGGTTTCTTGATTTCTCTCTTTTCTTAGTAAAATTTTTTGAAGGATATTCATGTCAAGGAAGAATTTTAGTTACGAAAAAAGCAACCTAGTGGAGTTATTTTAGCTTCGTTGTAAAGTACGGAACGGATTTATGGCGTTGTRTGACAACAAACAAATAAATACCACACAACGCCTCACGTCGGGAGTCCATTCGCTACTTTACTAAGAATCTTAAAAAAAACTCTAAAAAAAAAGCTTCACTAGATTGCTTGTTTCGTAGCTAAAATTCTTCCTTGACATAAACCCTTTTATCTTAAAGTCACACTTTTAGTCATCGAGCAAAAGCAGGGGAAAAAATAAGCCTTCGTTTCTCATAGCTTTTGATTTGTTTGTTGTCACACAACGCCGAGAGTCCAATCGCTACTTTACTACGAAGCAAGCCAAAATAACTCTGAAAAAGTCGACTAGATTTCTTCTAAAACTAAAACTAAAACTTTTTATTTATCAGAAAAGTTCTTCATTGAACACAAGATTTTATTTGTCATTAACTCGCACATAAATGAGATGTAAATATCCTCTCTTAGCTAGGTTTAGGTYATTCGATTGACAGCTGACCAGAAAATTTATAAGTTTCAATGCCGTAAAACACAAGTTAAATTTATCGATATATACTCCAAATTAATATATATATGTAATACATATTCCTGATATTGTGATATTTAACATTTGATACGAGATAGCRAATCGACTTCTATTAGTGGCGAATCGACTTCTATTAAGTAGCGAATCGACCTTTTAGGTAAAGTAGCGAAAGTGCAAGGTAGCTAAAAGACSGGATACCCTAGAGTCCGACTCACCCTTGGGTTGGTTGACTGCACACTGCAGGCCAAGAATGCCATCCTGTATGTTAAGTCTCTTACACCAAGAGCCTTGAGGCCTCTACAAAAATATACATTAGTTTTAAATGCACAAAAAATGTAGATTACAAAYTGGTATTTATCTTACCTTATTCCTTCTGCTTGATATCCATCACCAGATCTTTGACGTTCAGATGATTCTGCTCTTGCACCTAAATTAACAAAGGCAAGTTTGCTTTTTTTTTATCTAAAAAAGGCCAGCAACTTTATTTACAAACCTGGAGTAGTTAATTGTCCAACATCAGGCACAACAATCAGAGTTCCTGTGAAGTCACATTTGTCTCCAGCTTGAGCCTGCTCTACTGCCTCTGCTCTAAGGATCACTTCCACACTAAAATGTTAAAAGATATCTCAAATTATAATCATTGACATGACACATGAACCTAAATCTGTCCAAATTACACACAGGGAAACCATGACAAACTTCTGAGCTGTACTSAATAGTAATTTCTAATTAAATCTAACACAAATGGCTCATACCTTCTAGGAATACACCCTCTTGGGAGTTCTGCTTGAGTTTCCTGGATGCGAACTTTTTGGAAATCCACATATC